CAGTGCTTGTAAGTATGCAAATTTTTTCTCAGTGGGATTACTCAGAACTCTGCTAGTAAGAGCTGTATTTGTTCATTAATTTAGGTCTCATTAGCCAAGACTAACTCGACAAGGATAACAACAGATTATGGTCACTGTCCAATGCAGCTTAATTGTTTGTTTATTATGTAAATATAATTGTATACTAATGTAATTTGATATTGCACTACCAATATAACCTAAAATTCAAAGTATCCGCTAGGAACATTATATAAAATTAAAGGGTCTTAGTCTTAAATGTGGTGTACTGACAGTGATAATGCATAACGCATAATAGATAACACATGTAAATTCTAGTCTGTAATTTGAAATAAGGTAATAACACAACCTGAATTGAAATATGTCTGCTTGGTTAATAATAAAATACTACAAAATATTTCATCACTGAAAAAATGTATCTCCCAGTGACACCTTTATACAGAATTAGTTTTAAATTATTCAGAAAATAACTGCACTGCTAATGATCAGTGAACAGATGATACAAGATCTTTAAAATTTACTCCTTAGAGTCTATTGTTTATTTACTTAGGTCATCTTATGTCATTTTGCTAATGCAAGTGCACAATTTACCTGACTAAATAGTGCAACAAGAAATAGCAGATGCAAATATTTACAAGATAATATATGTTGCCACATTTGTTGTCCTGAATACCCAAGCATTAGAATGTACACACTGATGCTCTAGTGCCGTGAGTCAGTTCTAAACTCAATCTGAATTTTGTGAAAAGCTAAATCAAACTTAACTTTCAAATGTAACTGACAATTCAACCCCTTCCGTGTCCTACAGTTTCCTTAGTCACAGATGAAGATTATTATTTTTAAAGACGAAGCAGAAGTTTTATTCACATATTCAACTAACTTAGGCAGACCTCAAGCATATAATTACAAAGATAATTGGGATAAGGCTCATTATTGGGCAACAATATCTTCTTAAGGCACTCCCAAATGATTTCTCTCCCTGTCCTTTCCCACCTTCTGTTGGTAGGTACTTGTTCCTGCTTGTGTATCCAAGCTTGTCCCTCCCTGTGTTTTGTCAGCTTAGTTCTTGGGGAAAGAGGCAGGTGAAGACATTGCAATACATCCTGGACAGGGGAAAAACATTCTAAAAATGTGTCCCTGAAAAGTAAGCACCACAAAGAGAGCAAGACAACCAGTGAGAGATGGGAGCAGCATGCAGAGCAAAAAATTGGGGAGAGTTTCTTCCCCAGGTAAAATCTACAGAGCATAGGCTAAAATTTGTAAAAATTAAAGGCCTGATCAAGAACTTTCTGGAAAAAAACTGTGTTGTTCATTCTGATTTCTGGAGGAGCTCTGAGAAGGGGATGTCCCACTTTCTGTATAACAGTAATTCAACTTTGGAGACTTTGCCTTGATGTTCCCTCACCCCTGTACACCTGAGAGACGTGGAGGAAATATTTTAAGCAAGACTCATTTTTACTTCAATCATCAGATAACCTTTTTTAGAACATGAAAGTTGATCACTTCTTGTGTTATTTAAACAAAACGCTTCCTCAGAAATATAAGCAGGGAGTGAGAAAATTTCTCTTGGCAAAAATACTTGTACTCTTTGCAAGAAACATTTATTCATTTACTCTTAGCAAATAAATGTAAAACTACTCATTTCCTGTTAAGGTATCTGTCTTTGCTACATAGCTGTGCAGATGCGTAATTTCAGTGGAAGCAAGCTGAACAGTGTTAAGGCTGTAAACAGGGACTCCTTCCAGGAGTAGGTTCCTTAGAAATTGTAAATTGTTTCCTGTGTATGCTAGAAGTACTGTGAGCAGGATAGAAGTGTAGAATATGATCTAAGACATTCTGGAAACAACAGGAAAAAAGTCTACATACATACAGCTCAGTTCTACAAAGTGTAATATGAATTCTTAGGGTAGAAAAGCCATTCAAACTGTCCTTTCTGAAGTATTCACAGCGTGAGGATTTATAATATTATTTTTGCTTTTAAACACGCTCATAAGTACACACCTCACATAACTGGTGATGACTAATAGCCACAATACTTCTGTGTGCGTGATTGCTCTTTTGCAATATACTAAAAAATCTGAAGCCAGTGCACAGTTTAGATAGTGAGAGGTATGCAGTGTTTGAGGGGTATTGTCAAAGGATCCTCAGTAGGCTTTTAACAGTTCTGCAAAATTCTCTGGAATGCAAAAGCAAAACTTTCTTCCTTTAATGGCCTCAAGTGCCCTCTGGCAACGTCCTTGCTATCAGAGGGTAGCTCAGAATGACATCAATATCTTTCAAATAGCACTGAGATAATGTTGAACTATACAGAATTCTTTTGAAAGCTATGAAAACAAAAGAGCATGTCTTGCTTCATAAGTTATGTAACATACTATTGTTACTATTCATGACTTTTCACACACATACCTTGCATCAACTTTTATATGTGATGCAAACTAGAGGAGAATTCAAACCTGGCTTCTTGAATTTACAGTTTTCTATTTCCTCTGAAGTTCTGAACTGAAAGTCAGCAGTTCTTGGCAATAACTGGGAAAAACATACTTTATTCCTTTCCACACTGTAGTAGCACCTACAATGTGAATACAGAGCTCACCACAAACATATTGCTATATACTTTTCTGCTCTGATAGTACTTACAGTGTAAGTTGGAATACAGCTTTATTGTCAGAGAAATAAATAGATAACAATACGGACGATTACCTGGTAAGAGTCTGTCTGTGTTGAATATAAACTGCTAATTGCCCTGTGCTGGTCTATCTTACGTCATAAAACCACCATTAGACAGAAGCAAAGAGATTAAAAATTAAATAGGAACCTAGTTGTCAAACCTTTCTCCATTTCCAGGGGATGACACAGTTCAATCTTTGGTTTGTTTTGTCATGAGTGGATTTTAATTGCTGGCATAGTCACTTTTCTCAATATATAACTTATCAGAGTGACTTGAATGCTTTTATGATAGCCATCATAATTGCTAGAGATATCTTCAGAAGTCATCACATTCCTCTGAGTTGGAAGAATTCCAGAGTTTATATTGTTTTGCCATGAGAATAGCTATAAAAAAATGTTATCTGCTGGAAACATTTCCTTTTCTGTTTGAACTTTAAGGTTAGTGTCTGATTAGCTTGCTGTAGATTGCAAAGGTAAATTTGACGCAATATGCACAGCACTCCGATCTTTAGGGGTCATTAGAATTACAAATGCACACAGTGCTGGCTCCTGACCCTGCTGCCATCTGAGAAATGGCTACTTGCTATTCTGCTTTGCTGATACCCTACACTGATAGGAACTTGGCTGACAATATGAGGAGAGGCTTAAACTGCCAGGCCTGTGGTTCACAAACAGCTGTCTTTTCATGAAAATTCATTGCTGTTAAAAATAAATGGAGCGGTTTGCTTGTTGAATTTGCCTAACTGGTAGGAATCCTATCAGTTGATATTGCCTCATGCTAAGCTTGTGAGTATCTCTTAAAAGACTTAGAAAGAGTGAATGATCTGGCTAAGGAATATGTAGCTGACTTAGCTACATATTTCACGATCCAATTCTCAGTCTGGCCCTGACCTTTTGCAGGAAGGTTTAAATGCCTTCACATTCCAGCTGTTTCAGCTTACTAATTATATCCAAGTGCTGACTAATTTTTCACTTATTTTTTATGCTTGCACGCAGGGAATCCATGTTGTGTTGCTAGTTTGAAGAGTGTTCACACAATGGCTGTCCATGGCTACGTTACCCATGCCTTTCCAAAAGGAACTCTTCAGACAGGGTCACCAAGTACTTTATTGAGATGGCTCTGCAAAACATCAGACAATTTTGAACCATGTTAACTGTTGGATTACTCAGTACATGTGCTTCCAATAAATTGGATTACCTTCAGGTGGCAAAGAAGCACTGAAGAGTATATACCCCTACGGTCCCTGACCAAGCAGCCTGAAGCAAGCGTCTGTCATTCCTTGTTACATCAAGACAGTACCTGTGCATATAACCTTCTTGTCTATGCAGAGAAACTTCAGTGGCAAACTAATTAATACCATTTTCTTTCTTATACATCTCATTCTTCCTCCTTTGCTACCCCCAGCCTGTGTAAACTAAAAAGCACTAATCCTCTAAAGACTTTTCAGTCTTATGCAATGTGAGTGATTTGGATGTTCAAACAGCAGATTACAATAATCTGAGACTGTACAAGCAGCAAAACATATTGACAACTCATTCTGATGTAGCTATTTATGTCAATATGAATTTTGACACCGGGAATAGAAAAAAGCCATTTAACAAGAGCAGAATTTACATTCAAAAGTGGTTCTGGGAAAATTTCTTTAGCCAAAACACAAAATTATGCATAAAAAGGTCTAAAAAGGGAAAATACTATTAAGAGGGAAGCATTCAAGTGTGGAGAAAAGCAGAGGATTAAGACTGAAATCTTAATGCATTTCCTGGTACATTAAAGCACTGTTTTTAACAGTTTTCAATTACGCGATCGTATAAATTTCTCCCTCATGGGGACTCTGCCTCAATAAGTGCAAATGATAGATAGTTTTTTTCCTAAATGAGAAACTATTTCACAATTTGTTTTATTGTTCAGTGGGTGGCCCAATATCCTACTTCATGCACATTATTCAAACATTGCTCCAAAGGCAGAATATTAATTTTCTTATGAGTTTTCAATCATATTTATCACTATCATATATAAATATTTCACAAGTTGAGAAATTAATCTTGGAAACATTTCAACAAAAGGAGGGGAATAATTTTATTTCTAGTGCAAAAATTCATTGGTCTGCATATCACAAGGTTAAATTAGGGTCAAATATTTTCACTAATTAAAGTGCCTCATTGAACAGTCTAGGGCTTGTTTTTTTCAGATACATTAGCACTGTTAAGAACTCTAAAATGTCATCATACAGCTCAATGTAACTCAGGAGGGAGGTGTTAATGCTCAGTATTTCTACAGGTCTGTGATAATTATATTATGATAGGCACCTGGAAAATGGAAAGTACCAAATTAGTTATTGTCTCTTAGAGTCCTGTATAGCATCAGATTTGTTGGAGGCTTGGAGTATCCAGAATTCTTCTAATTTAATTCAAGATGCTGTTGGATCTACAAGTCATATTGTTCTTTTTTTAGCGAACAATGAAAAAGCAGCTTCTTCAATGAACATAGTTGCTGATCCCTTGACTGCTCACTCTTCAACCCTGATTCACCTCCACAGCCATCCTGAACACTGAATGAGACTGAAAATAATGAATGTGATATCATTAAAGACTGTCATCATGTGCATACACATAAAAGAAATTAATTCAGATTGCTCAGAAAAATATAATTTTTATGTTTCTTAATCTTAGTTTACAATCTTTTGAAATAGCATAATTATACTTGGCTATGTTTTGAAATAGCAGTTTAATATTGCAGGTTAGAAAAAATAACAGACATCTCAAAAGATTTTTTTATTCAACAAAACATCTACTTGATGACCAAATATTGATAGTCACTTTCATCCTTGGTATGTCTGAAATAATTACATTTGTGAATCTGACTGCTACCATATGACAAAGAATATTTATTGGAAACAGACATTTCAGTAAAAACTGTCCTTTTGACTTCCATTCCTTGACACAGACATTTAGTGTTCGACCTCTGTGTTCTGTTCTTTCCAGTCTATTCTATTCTAAGATCCAGTTTTCATTTCTTTCTTCAATCTCACTCTCCTTTCCAGTGACAGAAATTCATTGGGTGTGAGCTCATCAATGAGAAAAAATACTAGGAATTCTAAAATTCCAGTTAGGCCACTAACATGTTAATTCATAAAAACAGTATTTGTCCTAGTTTATATTTTCCCATGTATTATGTAGTCCCAGTCATTATGTCTTAGTATTTTTGCTCACCTTGCATGCAAAAGGAGTTCTTAAAACTTTTTATGTTCCATAGACTACTTCTGTTTTCTCTGGAGTTCATATTCCTTGTTTCATTCTGTAGATGTCATATAGATACTATTTACACTGCCTGGAGGAGAAATCAGATTCCAGTTCTCATTGCATTTTCCTTGGTTTATTTATTTCTTGTATGTGTTGAAGCATTCAATAGCAGCTTTTATCTGCTCCAGTTTGCAAACTTCCTGCAAAGGATTTGGCAACAGTAACATGAATATCGTCCCTATAATTCTAGATCTTGTCCTAACCCTAGTGGATGTATCAGGTAGAGTCCATTAACCAAAATATATGATATTTCAATAAATGAAAATTTAAATAATACTAATTTAAAAGCAGTGTTTTTGAAAGCATGAGAATGATTTATGGTCATAACATTATGTTTCCAGCCTCAGTGAAGTGCACAAAGTTTAGAATGATATCAGGTGTTCTACAGACAATGAAAGCTCCCTGGCCATTTAGATTCTATATTGGCACATTCTGTAGAAAACTACATTTTTTATTAAACAGATACCTTCAAAGGAAAAGAATTCCCCCAAACAACTAGGCATATGGTTAAACTGATATACAAATAATCTCTCCCACATACGCTTCCATTCCCCTTTCTTACTTGCTGGATAGCAAACCCTTGTCCTGTCTTGTCAGGTGAGGTTACCGAAAGAAGACTAAAGTTGAACTTCTAAGACCATGATGGGACAGCCGTTTTCTTTCTAGTCTCTTAAGTTCTTCCTTTGCTCTTTCATTACTTATGAATAAAACACAAGCAAGATCTGACATGTAAGAAAAAAATGAAGATATTACTCAAGACTTTGCTAAGGCTGACTGAGCCAGATTTCGAACTTCCAGGAAGCTCAGAAAATTCCTGGAACATTTTATGAGGGAGTTCCCCTGGTTTTCAAAGTCTGTTCTTCCTTGTTATAAGCAACACCAGAAGTGAAAAGTTATGAAACTTCTTTGGAAAGTGTCTCAATTTTTTCAATCACATTAGAAACAGGAAATTCTTCCAGACATCTCATCAAAGAGAACAGATAAATATCAGGGCTCACTGGATCATTTGAAGTTCATCCAGTACTACTCTAAATTAAAGATTTTCTTCCTACTTCTTAGAGCCAAATGATGTCTGTAGAGAGGACAGGGAATCAACCGCCTGAGGTCTAATCTCATCTCTTTGATGTAATGCTGAGAAAGCTTTTCTGCGGGATAAAGACAATATTGGCATCACAGAAGTATTGTTATCCAGAGGTGAATGCCTACAGCTGGTGTTCAGTTTCCCCTTCTTTTGCACCCAATCTGAAAACAAAACATGTTACGACATCTAATGTTATTTCCAAAGTGTCAAATGCCATCTCTGTATGTAAATGCTCACCTGAACAATCTGGTGGCCTTCTATGATAGAGTGACTACAATAGTTGACAAGGGAAGAATGACTGATGTCATCTACCTAGACTCCTATCAAGCTTTTGGCATGGTCCCACACAACTTCCTCATCTCCAAATGGAGACACATGGATTTAAAGGGTGGACTCTTTGTTGGATAAGGAATTGACTGTGTGGACACAGACAGAGAGTTGTTGTCAATGGCTCTATGTCCTGCTGGAGGCCAGTGGAGTGGTGTTGCTTAGAGATCTTTGTTGGAGCTAGTGCTCTTTAACATCCTTATCAATGACATAGAAAGTGAGATCAGGCCTGCAGATGTCACAATGCTGAGCAATGCAGCTGACACAACAGAGGGGAGGCATACCATCCAGAGGGGACCTGCACAAGCTTGAAAAGTGGGCCCATGAGAATTTCATGAAGTTCACCAAGTCCAAGTGCTTTTCTTCTCAATCAGATCTACAACAATTAACTGTGATTTATTTGATTTCTTTTATATTTTGATCCAGGAAATTCTGAACAGAATTACAGATATACTAGTTTTGATATATTAGTCTTGAACCCACAGTACATTGGACCAGTGATATGTTTTTAAACACATAGACCAATAGATTTTCCCGATCAACTGAAATGAGGGTGTTGAACACCGGCAGTATCAGGGCCTCTGCTTTTGTACATTGAAGATCAAATGCACGATAGTTGTTAAGTCCATATGCATGTGGAGTAGCTATTTACCGAGGATTTTCTTCTGGACAGACTTCTGCCTGACCAAAACCGAGGCAAATTTTACACTTCCCACACAAACAAAATTTTGAGGTGGAGAAAGAAAACATGTTCAGGGGAAAATGGACTAAAGAAGTCCTACATATGGCATCCTCTCCAAAAATCCTTTGTCACTATTATTGGTTTGGAGAGTGACAGAAATTTACACAATAAGCATTTCAGTTTAAATTACTTGTACTCTTATTCTGGTATTTAGAGCAGCATAAAACAGCATCTTAAAATATGGAAAGACAGCATACCTCCATGACAGGAAAGTTCTGAGGGAATTTGGAGCCTTAACAGAACACAGAAAATAGTGACTGAGGAAAGAATGTAGTTTCACTGTGTGATGTAACTTAAAAATCATAAATGTGTTTCATGTAGAAAAGAATGCATGAATTCATCCTGATTTTCTGAATTAATTTATGCCATTAACAGGGAGGCAGACATGCTCCTACAAAAGGATGGTGATGTGGGACTGGGAATAGTTGCTGCATAACTGTGACTGAGCAGTGTTTTAACATCAATGCCACAAACATCGAGCCAGATGTATTCAAGGCCTCGCCTGTGGCTTGATGACACATACCGTTTTCACAACAATTGGTGGATTTGTGGTAACAATCAAAAGGCATTTAAAATGCTTGGAATGTGGTTTAGAAACCCGCCTTGGCATCCCGCTTTTCATGTCTTAGCATAAATGCCTCAACTGTTTTTATTGTTCTGCAACTGCTCATTTATTTTGAAAGAAAGAGCTTGGCCTGCAGTATTTGCATTCAACAATACTTGAAACAAGAAGTTAAAGTATTTTTTAATTATGCCAGTGAAATATTTCATATGAATAATGCCAACAGCTGGGTCAGACCTTTCGGTTTTGAGTAAGAGTTTATTCCAGGCTTGTTAACTAAGGGATTCTTTTTTTAGAGAAAGAGTTTCTGATAAATTGCCAGTTTGGAAATATATTACAGAACAGGAATGTCTTTTCAATTTATGTTGCAGTTGTACCACATTCTTTATGTATTTCTGATTTTTTGCCCTTATGACTCTATTTTATCATCATAATTGCTGCACAACTGATGAAACAGCACATAACTACTTTCAATAAAATCAAGAAAAGAACAATGTTAATGTGAAACACATTTAGGAACAAATTACTTTATTTTGGTGGAACAAGACTGAAACAGACTAACAGATCTATGGACAGACAAGGTATTACTCCACAGGTTTAAAAGATAGATCCACCAATTGATGATTAGATCAATAGACAGCAGGATGGAAAATCCATCTGTTACTGAACATCTTGTCTAATTTCAAAATTCAAGCACGACATTTTTAGCATTGAAAAAGCAGCCCATAAGCTTTCTTTCCTCTGGGCTGCAATTTATTTGGCAATTAATGATTAAGAATAATTTTCTAAATCTTAGTAAGAAAGAAATCAGTATAAGGATTGGTGAACCCTATCAATATGAAAGAGGAGTTTACTTGACCTCAGAGAGAAGAAAAGTTTGGTTAAACAGCTAAACTTTAATCAAAAACTTCAGTGAATAATTTCTCCTCTATCACAAAAAAAAAGATACTCAGACAATTTTCGTGCCTAAATATTTGAATTGTGATATACAGAGTTGGGATCATCAACTTTTATGAAATTATTAGTCAGTAAACTCATCTACTTTTAGCTCAGAGGACCAGTGTGGGGAGAACTACAATCAGTGTAGTTAATCACACTGCATCACTGAGATGTGGAGCCAGCTCGGTTGGCTTTGGAGTAATGGAGCCAGTCAGCCTGGGGACAACCATAGAAGTTCCTGCCACCTAGTGCCAACTCTGCCTCTCTTTCAAGAAAAAGTCTGCTTGGGTAACTGCTATTTTGCCCAGCATTATAAGGAAAAATCAAAACAAATACCTGTTCAGACTACTACACTAGGCTTCCAAATATCAAGTTCAGCTCTTGCCCTCTGTTCGTATTAGTCTCCATAATAAAGGCGAGGGTTTTTGATGAGAAGGTGAACAGATGTGAATGGGTCCAATTGCAACTGTTTCAGGAATCCTGTTTATGGCTTAGGCAGCCCCTAACAATCCACACCCCCAAACCTTCACTGACTTTATTTCTTAGTGTTATGATCAGATCAGGCCAGAATCATGGAAATATATGACACCTTTCCATATGTTGTTCTTGGCTTCTCAGTAAAAATCTGTGTTAGAATTATTGTTATTATCATTACTATTACTAACCTGAGAGTGTCTTTTGATATACTACTGGGAATTCTGCACTGACTATATCTCTTTTAAAATCTGCGAGGTGGTTGGAACACATCCCAACAACTTCAGCAAACTCCAAAGACTATGTAGTCTGCAATTTCTATGTAGTCTGTTCTTTTACTCTTTAAAATGTAAGAAAATGCCTACTTTTTTCCTCATTACATCATTCATTTTACAGAGGAACTGTTTGCCTAGGTTTTTTTGTAGTAGACTCTGTGCCTCAAACCATTTTAATTCAGTAACTCATTCTTTTGGTTTGTTCTATGCCCAGATCGTTGGAGATTTTTGTTCACTTTGGTAGACAGTAGAACCAGTAGGACCAGTAACTTTAAAGTTCCCTCTTTCCATAATATTTGTATTTGTTTTCCTTTAGATGGAATATTTCTTTCTAAAAGTATCTTAGTCTTTTTGTCTGTTGGTGCAATGGCCGTGATTCTGTGCAGAAGATAATTTTTTAATTAAAAACTGTTGGACCAATTTCTGAGTCTGCAAAGCAGTACTGACTGTGATTTGACCAAAATAATTTATTTCAACTATCTCCTCAAATTTGAAGTTATTATGAACTCTTTCCATGAAGAACGTGACCTTTGATAGTAACAACTGAGAAAAATAACACCCAAGCCTGTTTGTTTTTTTTTTTTTTTTAATTGTATCAGAAATATGGATGATTTCAGAAATAGGTACTATCATCACTACACCCATTGCTTCAGTACCCTTGTGATAGGAATAGAAAAGGAGAAAGTTCTGTCTGCATTCCTTCTTTCTTCTATGCTATCCCTATCTGGCATTTTTCCAGGGCATCAACTTGGCTCCAGATATCTTTTAAGGGCATTATTGCACAAAGTGGAGGGAACTATCTGTAAAAATCATACACTAATGGAAAAGTCCATATGGACTAAATTCAATTTCTTCATAAGTGAAGCTATTAATAAAAAATTAGGGACATAAAGAAGTTTTAGATTGAAGATATAACAAATATTGTCCTCTGTAGCCTGGAAATCAAATCAAGAACATTTTTAACTATCTGAAATAACTAGAAGTATGGGGAAAACAAACTACAAAAGAAGTATCTTTGAAACAGGAAAGTAGTAATTCCTAGGTTTACCATACCATCCATGCTAAAATCAAAAGTATCATGTAATGAACAACCAAACAGTGTCCACGCAGGCAAATCAGTAAGACAAAATCATACTGACAGTAGAAAATGTTATCAAAATATATCTTTTAGTTCCTTCTACTGCATTCTACTTCCTAGACATGCTATTTTCTTAAAAGAAGATGTGATATGAAAGCCTTCAGATTACCTACCTCAAGGATTTTACGTTTTGAGTGTGCTGCAGATAATTTTAGTCATTTCGAGACTGTGATGGCTTACAGTTGCCTCAGACTTCTTTTCTCATAGTGTAGAAAGAAGTGTGAGACAAATAATTTCCTCCTTTTTCTTCTGATCAGGTCATAGATATGAATGCTTTTATTTTAATTATAAAAACCTTTCTTGTTGAAGAATTGGGATCCTTGTTCTTGGAAATTAAAATCTTTCTCTTATAATCAGTTCAAAGCTGACTCTTTCATGACACAGAAATGAACTGAATTTAAGTGTCTCTTATTCCTCTGTCATTTTGATTGTACTTTGTGTGGTATTGTTAAAGCACTAGGTTTAATGTGTCATTGTAATTGACCAAAAGAATCACATACCTCAGCTGGTTAAAAACTGGAGTAACCTTTCTGTAATTTCTGACATTGGACTTTTTCTAGGGAATCACCAGTGATGGTGTCTGCTTAGTAACTGTTTTATTCTTCTCAGGCCAGCTTAGAATATACTTACCTGGCAGGGGAGACACCAGGATCAGACAGGTGATTTTACCATAAATATGGTGGAAAATGGTAGCAATCAATGATTTGTTTTCCACATATGGTTCAATATCTGCTTTGTTCCTCAAAATACCTAATCTTTTTAAGAACATTGTATTCATATTTATGCAAATAATTATCAGTCCAGATGACAAGATTATCAAAGTTGTATATTAACACATTTTTTCCTCTGACTCTAATTAAAGCCCACTATTTCAGAAAAATAGTTCAAGAAACTAGATCCAACCACTACAGTACTTCATAGGAGTTGGAACAAGGTTGCCTCTTCTGAAAATCATATCCTTCATTTATTTCTAATTTATTGGTCATATCTCTTAACGTAAATTT